GACTTTTGCCCTAGAACAAATCAACCTTCGCTGATTCTGCATTAACATTAACACACTGCCAATGAGTTACGTTTTCACTAACAGAGCAGGATATGTCAACTTCTTAATTTGGGTGATCTTTCCATGTTAGAGTACAAACAGTATGTTTTTTGATATAACACTTTTTAACACTGTGTAAAATAACTGTTTAGTACTCTCTGTATATATGATGGAGCCCTGGTGACTCAGCTGCTAACCAAAAGTTCGGTAGTTCGAATCCATCAGCCACTCCTTGGAAACACTTTGGAGCAGTTCTATTCTGTCCTAAGGGTCGCTATGAGTTGGAATTCACTCAAAGGCAAGGTTTCATCTTTTTTATATCTGTGATAGAATTATGTTGATCACAATTTAACCTGGTAAATTCAGTTCGCATTCAGAATATTGAGGTACCTCTGTCAGAAGCCTCTGTCTTTAAGCCTGTTGGAAAAGCCTCACAAAATGATTGCTAAGTCGCAGACTGAAGAATCAGGAAATTCAAATCACTGTGGCAAGTCCTGACACGTGGCAAGCCTAATAATGCCCTCTATTAACTGTGCCTATTTCTCACAAAGCGCTGCCCTGCTGTCAGCCACACCCATCAGTACCTTTTTGGCTATTTTTATATTTTAAATTCCCAACTGGGGACCCACATACCTGCCATGAGAAATGATGCTTCACGGTGGATGCAGGGAAAGCACGAGGAGCCTTTGCTGGAAAAGAGCTGCGCTGGATCACAGAGCTGGGCTGGAATCCTAGGAATCCAAAAGCTGTATACGTAAAAAATGTAAAATCAGAGAGAAAGAAAAATTGTGTATTCGAATGATGTTCTTGACTCATCTCCTGGTGAGCCACCTATGTGTAGTATGAGCAAGAAGCAGTAAACTACCAGCTTCTAAAATGTTCCGGAAATCACAATACAGGAAATTCTCACTGTATATTTGTAATACAAAGCCTATGATTAGCACAATAGAAGGTGAGAGGGAGAGTTTTTTAATCTTTGAAAATCAAAATAGTCTAGAAAAATATGTTTAAGCCACATAAAAGCATGGACAAAAGAAGGTAAATTTGCTTCATGTGACAAAATTCTGCAAATTATTTTTTTCTTTTAATAAAAATAAACAATTACTGGGTGTTCACATTGTGCCAAACAGTATAAAGCACTTTACAAATATTAATTCGTTTCTTTATCAACTGTCAAGATAAAGAAGATATTATAAATATCCGTATTTACCAATGGGAAAGCTGAGGTCCAGATGGGTAAGTAACTTTTTCAGGGTCATTGAAGTTTGAGACACAGGCAATTTTACACCAGAGCACACATTCTTAGAGGCAGCACACCCACCTAATCAACCCACTTCCTCTGTGCCTATATTTTCTGTAGATTTCCATTTCTTTTCTTTTGCACAGAGTGGTTTGTCTAACCATTTTTGTGTGCCCATCCCTGCCTCTTTGAACCAGCCAGGGTAGGCAAACATCCCATTACTGTTCACATGTAAACACACACACACACACACACACACACACACCTTATCCCTTGGTCTAAGCCCACATTTCAGTGTCTCACTCACATTAACCTTGAAGTCTTCTTTCAACCCCTCACTTTCCAATCTTCCATTCCTTAAGGTCCTTTGAACATACCTGCAGCTACTCTAATAAACTTTATTTTAACTAAGATTTTAAATACTTACAGTGTTATCTCACTCAGATAATATGCTAATATTTCAGCTCACACTTTTTTTTATTGTCATCCACAACAAAAGGCCCTACTGAGCATTTCAGATGTGGGACAGACAGGGAGACTGGGCATCTTCAGAGCAGGGACATTGATCTGTGATGTGGTATCTGGAAATACAATCTACCCCATACAAAATTAACTCCATAATAAACTGTGTGGTATTGCTTTTAAGGATTTGAATATTCCACCTTTTTGTAAAATGGAGTTTTTCATCCAGAAAGTCAAGGCTTGTGGTTCGATCTCTGAGTTTCCATGCAGTCCAAAGTTTTTCACCTTTTCAACTTGTCTCCCGTGTGCATGTAGAGTTGCTCCACGCACCCATCAAAATTCTAAAATCTAGATCCTTACTGGAGAATGGGAACATATAAATTCCTTTATCCAGCTCTTTTGCAAATCCAAGTTGACAGGCACTATGTTTATAAGTGATCCTTTGACACGTTTGAATTCTGTCCTTTGTAGTTTGTAGTGTAGGACAATTGTGAACAAGCAGAAAGCTGCCTAATTTTGCTCACTTTTGCCAAATATAAAAATGTCTTAAGTAAATATGAGTTTAGGATTTTTCTTTCAGCTTCAGTTTTGTGGTGTAACACAGTTGTAAGAACTGTAATAAAATATACAGTAGAAATTATTAATATACTTTTAAACTGTCAACCTTATCTTTATTGGAAAATTATTCGAAGTTTTTAGAGTCATGCCTGGTGAGAGATAAATCATTTATTGTATTCTTTTTCATCTTTGTTCTGTAACTCAGAAGCAGAAAGCCTGCAAAGTCATACCCAACTCATGAACTATAGACTCAAGGCACAAATCTGGTATCTATATATCTGCATCTGTATCAATATATCCCTTAGATTTTTTTCTGATCTTCCGACTCTTGTTGATTCATTTTGGTGTATGGGTAGTTGAATTGTACTTACACCACAATGTCCCTACCACTCTTCTCCCCTTGTAGCAGAGATTGTCAGCGCCCCACTCGAATCTCTACAAATTCTGATGAACTTTGGCTGACTCCCTCATCTTTGCGCCTGGGGGCTTCTTTCCCCTTGCTGTTGTTGTTGCTGTGTTGTTCTTAGGCACCACTAGTCAATGTCGACTCACAGCCACCTCAGCTGACAGAGTAGAACTGCCCCATAGGGTTTGCTACGATGAAATTTTTATGAGAGCACATCTCCAGCTCTTTTTCCAGCAGAGCCACTGAGTGGGTTACAACTGTCAACCCTTCATTTAACAGCCAAGCACTTCATTGTTGCCCCAACAGGGCTCATTTCTTTTCCCCTAGAACTGTTGAACCAGCCTTGCTCTTCTCGCATCATTGAATCCAGGATTTTATATAAAAATATCGCAGTGCATTTCGTTTCTCTAATATGCATGCATTGGTAATGAATATTTGAAAAAAGGCCATGTGTCAATGAAAGGGGTCCCCCATCATGAAGACCAGGAAAAGATTCCTTGATATGAGGAAAAGGAGAATAAGCATGATGGCTGAAGATGGTAAAAAGATCAAAGAGAGAGGTCAGAGAAACAGAAACAGAGGAAGAATGCTGTGAGAGGAGAGGCTGCATCCCTGACACTTGTCCTCCACTCACACCAGCACTTTCCTTCATCAAGGTGCTGAATCAATATGGGAGTTGAATAAACATCTGAAGACAACTCACTCTCTGATGGGTGAGCATGCGTTTCCTGCACCCAGGGGATACTTTGGCTATTATTCTCATCAGTATCTGAAGATAATTCCCTTAAAAAGCAGAAAGCATCTGTCATAGTCAATATCATCTAGACATCCTTGTAACTCCTACATTCAGGTACATCTGTAAGCCCTCAGCAAAGAAAAAGGAAAGAAAGCAAAGAAAAAAAAAAAAACAGATGGAACTCAAACAGTGAGGTAGAAAAAAAAGAATATGTCTGAACTTTAGTTTGACTAAACAAAAGGAGTCTGAGATCTATCCTGGGCTGAAAGGCTAACCAAAGACTTTCCTGTTCCTTTACATGGAGCCTTGGTGGCCCAGTGTTTAGTGTTTAGCTGCTGTCTTAGTCATCTACTGCTGCTGTAACAGAAATACCACAAGTGGATAGCTTCAACAAAGAGTAATTTATTCTCACAGTCTAGCAAGTTACAAGTCCAAATTCAGGGCATCAGCTGCAGGAGAAGGCTTTCTCTCTCTGTTGGCTCTGGAGGAAGGTCTTTGTGATGCATCAGTCTTCCCTTGGTCTGGGAGCATCTAAGGGAAGGAACCTCAGGTCCAAAGGATGCACTCTGCTCCCAGCACTGCTTTCTTGGTGGTATGAGATTCTCATCTGTCTCTCCTCGCTTCTCTCTTTTAAATCTCAAAAGAGATTGGCTTAAGACACTATCTCATCAGT